CTAAGGTAATTTTATGACTAAGTCACTGTCAAGTTCAATGTAGAAACTTAAAATTAAGAAGTCACATAATGAATGTAAAGAAAAAAAATTTTTGAAGGATATCATTGATTCTAACATAAGAGGGAAAGATACATGTTAAAATATCATGAGATATTATATTACCCAAAAGTTACTTCCAGTTTGAGAGAAGTAAGTTCTTGTTCTATGTATCAAATAGCAACTAAGATCTGCTGCTAGGTATCCCTTGGCAGTAATTTTGACTGAGGACCTGGGCCTATACAATTTTGACAGTTTTGAATTGCTGACATTATCAGGGTTATTTAGATTTAATTCATCATGCTGGGAGAAGAGCATCCCAGTTTACTCCTTCTGAGGGAGAGAAGGGCTGGATAAGATTTCAGCACAGGACTGTCAACTGGTGAGGGAAATATGATGAGAGGCAACCTGTGGGGCTAAGTTGTCGGCTGAGAGAAGATTTGGAAGAAAAGCTTACCATAAAACACCCCATTTTTATTATATCAGTTTATAGGTTGCAAAACACTATTATATGTTGTTTCACTTAATGATCTCAAAAGCCCTATGATTCTTCTTCATTCATATTATGGATAAATAAACTGTGGAGAATTAAGTAATTTGCCTGAAGTCAATACAGTAAATGATAGAGCTAATATTCTAATCCTGGATTTCTATCCTACTTCACTGCTCATTCATCCATACCATAATTGTTGTTGAATCATATACAAGAATGGGAAGAACTGGTCATTGGGACAAGAGATATGTTGAGAACGTTACTAGATGAGAATATGGGGTAATCAGTGGAATTTAAGTATAGATTATGGTTAGGTGTACACAGTTCCTAGGAAGATGGGTTAGATGAGTTCTGGAGAAACTTCTTAGCCAACTCTCAAGGACAACTGGAGCCTGGTCTTAAAAGAGACTTCTGTTCTGAAGAACTTAGGAATTGGATCTTAGCATTCTATTTCTGTAGAGAGTGAGTAATGTAATGCGAGTATTAATAATTTTTATACAATTTAAACTTAGGTAACACTTTAGCTTTTAATTAAATATATTTTTATTGCTTTCAGAGAGGAAGGAAGAGGGAGAGAGAGTTAGAAACATCAATGACGAGAGTCATTGATCGGCTGCCTCGTGCATGCTCCCCACCAGGGACCTAGCCCGCAACCCAGGCATGCACCCTTGACCGGAATTGAACCTGGGACCCTTCTGCCACAGGCCGACACTCTATCCACTGAGCCAAACCGGCCAGGGCTAATTTCATTTTTTAGATTGATAACAATCTTGAGAAATAAGCCAAATATTTTTGTTTGAGTAAACTAAAACAAGGCCTCTTGATAAAGAAATATGTAATAGTTACTATTAGGCTTATCCTATATGCTAGCTTTTAATTCTATTAAGTTGTGATAAATTATTTTCTCTCTGAGGTTTGCATTAAGTGATAGAGGCAGGACTGGGGTTCAATGTTTAGTATTACACACCTCAGTCAGTTATTAGTGCCACTTCCTTCATAAAGACCTGATTGGGAATAATCCAACTTATGCTAGCTTTTTTACTTTTAAAGTAAAAAAATCACAAAGTATTGTATTTTTTTAACATGTATTTTTATTGATTTCAAAGAGCAAGGGAGAAGGAGAGAGATTTGGAAACATCAAAGATGAGAGAATCATTGATAGGCTGCCTCCTGCATGCCCCCTACTGGGGATTGAGCCCGCAACCCTGGCATGTGCCCTTTTTAAAAAATATATATTTTATTGATTTTTTACAGAGAGGAGGGGAGAGGGATAGAGAGTTAGAAATATCGACAAGAGAGAACCATTGATCAGCTGCCTCCTGCACACTCCCTACTGAGGATGTGCCTGCAACCAAGGTACATGCCCTTGACCAGAATCGAACCTGGGACCCTTCAGTCTGCAGGCCGATGCTCTATCCACTGAGCCAAACCGGTTAGGGCTGGCATGTGCCCTTGACCAGAATTGAACCCGGGACCCTTCAGTCCGTAGGCTGAAGCTCTATCCTCTGAGCCAAACCAGCTAGGGCCAAGTATTGTATTTTTACTTAGAGGATCTTTTGAAAACCTGCCTCCCTATGGGATAGGGAGGTTTGAGACATCTATCCCCTATTTGGACTATTTTCCTCACTGGTGTTTATTAAATTAAATCAATGAAACTAGGTGATAGGTAGTAAAACTTTTAAGTTGCTGGCAGATATTCAGAACAATTGAGTAGAGAAAATAGAGTTCTTGGGGAAGAATTATCTAAACTAGGTCTTAAGGGCTTATGTCACTATTCATTGTGCTTTAACACTCAGTGGTTTTATTTTTGCATTCATTGAATAAGGTTTTCTGTTTCTAGTTTTAGAAATGGACAAATAGAAGATTTATGAGTTGTTCTTATGTCTAAAAAATAACTAAAACCTAAATTAAACTGTTCTTTTACACAATTTTTAAAATATGAGTCTGAGTACCTCTCAAAAGAGTTAAGATTTCTCACTTCAGTTTGTTTTAACCTTTGAGAAACCAAAATAAACTCTGAAGATAGCTGTAGTTTTTACTCAGTATATACATTTTTCCTTATTCAAGTGTTGCATTTTTACTATCCTAATTAGATGATAATCTTCAAAATACATTTCTGATTTAAAGCCATTTATATTTTAAATTATCAATAGCTACATATAATTACAAGGAAGATGTAGCCTTGTATAATTAAATAATTAAAATTATACAGTTTTATTAAAAGAAAAAAAAGTATTTTTTACATTTGTATTTTTCATATACATCTTTTTGTCTTTAACATCTCTGGATTAAGTGGTAATAGTCTATTTCTTTCTTTCTCTTTATCTTGGGTTGACTTCAAAGTCTTTCTTGCCCACTCTCCTACACTGCAGAGAAAAACAGAATGTGTAGCTGAGTGTGTATGTGCATATACTGGCATAAACTAGTTATCATCTATTGTTTCTTCTCTATACTTTTCTTTTCAGAATCCAGATTATCTTCAGTATTCTATCAATACAGCTCTCTGCAGTTTAAACTCAGTGGTACATAAAGAAGATGATGAATCCAAAATGATGGACACTGTATAATTTGGTTAAGACTGCTGAGGCCAAGTACTATTTTGTTACAAGAAAGGAAGAACTTGGCTATTTTCTTGACACTTTTATGGGTGCTGCACTTTATTTTTGTTCGGTTTTTGATGGGAGGGGAAAAGAGTACTGAAATGTTTTGTAAAAATTTTTTTATGCGCTGCTAGATTTTTTTGTTTTGGTTCTTTTTCCTGAAGAGAGGAGTGGTACCATATGTTGCAAGAAGTCAAACTGGACTTTGTTTTTTTGCTACTAAATTTGCCTTTAATCTTATTGTTCTTAATTTTGGAATCAAAGTATGAAAATCTGCACAAATGCAATGTTTACAAGAACTGGTTGATTCTAGGAGGCATCTGCTACAGTCTCTTTTTACATGGATGTATACATGCCCTACTCTACAAAAATGATTAAAGATAAAAATGTCCTTGCATCCTACTGCTAATTTAGCTGTCACATCTGGTGTTTTATCATATTAAAAGCAATAAATCAGTAGTTGATAATCTACTTTACTAAATAAGCTTGGTGATACAAATTAAAACAGTCTTTCCCTTATAATAATCATATGTTTGTACTTTGGGCACCATCAGTTAGATTCTTGACCCTAATACCAAATTTATATAGATAATAAATTAACCCCTTAAGTATTCTCAAAACTGTATTCCTTAGAAGTTGATTTTACCCTGTTGACTTTTTTAATAGTAAGGGATATAGTGATTTAAAAAGTGAAAAAGCTAATATAGAGGGGTTTTTTTGTTTTGTTTTTTAATAAAACCAACTTCAAGCTCACTCTTAATTTCTTTACTTGACATAGTCTGGGACCTCTCAGGGAGCAAGTTTTAAAAGAATATTAATGGCCTGTAAGAACAAACAGGAAGAAAAATCTGATTTTTAAAATTAGGTTTATTGTTCATTTCACTCTGATGTAGCTAAGGACTTTTTTAAAAGGCAAGAGAAATCTTGTAGAGCTAACTGCCTCGAGTTGCCAACTATTTACTTCTACAAATTTGGTATTCCTTGTGGATAATGATAGCTTTTACTGCATTTGTCATTTCTCTCTCTAGCTCAGTTACCATAGAATGCTGCTGAGTTTTACTACTTCCAATATAATTCACTTCAAGTATGAGAGGATGTTTGGTGATTCATTTTATTTAGAATTAGATGATAGTGCTAATTATGCTATCATTATGTGAGGATTAATCTTCTGACTTATAGGAACATGAGCTTTGACTTGTATTGGGTATAGTCTTTGGTTCAATCCCATTGAGACTAGTAGCAAACATTTGGAAGATGACTGAGATTAGGTATACATGTCTCAACTTGTAAAACCAAATATTGCTAAGGGACCCATATGATGATCAGACCTGTAACCATGGCCTCATTTGCACCTTGTTTTTACTAACTGAGGTGATAAGGCACTTAGTACCCATAGAAATGGACTGGAATTATTGAATCATACTTATGTAACATCACAATCTTACCGGTTTTCCAAATAAAACTCTTTTGTGCTTTTGATATAAAGATATGCTCTATAATAAAATGTTTGATTAACTTATATGGTAGTATTCATCAGCCTGTACATTTTTTAAAAAATTTTTTTTACCAATGTCCTAGTTACAGAAGTTTTTTATTTTGTATTATTTTTCTGTTCTGGAGCAACCTCTTATTCTTCCCTTCTTATCAAATAGAGAATAATGTACACAGGAGTAACATCCCAATTTCACAGAAATGATACTTGAACCATTACTCTGTTCCTCAACTTCACTTTCCCTCTTCACTTGCCTATAAGCATCCAAATTGTTTTAAATTTCATTTTGCCTTTTTTAAGTTCAAGGTAATGACTAGACTGGAAGGAGAGATATTATCAAAGAACTGAGTAAACAATGCTTGAAGGTTGTTTTTTTTTCTAAAACAGGTATTATTGAAGAGCTTTTTAAAAGCTATAGTTTTTACTTTCAAAGGGTAGTGTGTTCTATGTTTTGAGTGTGAAGGTGTGATTGAATTTATTTTAGGAGCCACTGACTGATGGCATGATTTGCACTTAAAAACTATAATCTTTACATATTGAACAGTAAATTGACATCCTTTTCTTTTTTCTTTAGTACTAAGAACTAACTCCTATTAAGAGAAAATGTTGGCTTTTCTGTTTCTTAAGAAATAGTAAGAGTATAGTAGACAAAGGGATAATGTGTATTTCAGGTTGGACAGTTTTCTTTTGACACAAACCATGGAAAGTACAAAGATGAGTGAAACATCTTTGACATCAAAACATCCATCTAGGCCCTCGCCAATTTGGCTCAGCAGATAAAGTGTAGAGTCTCAGGTTCAATTCTGGTCAAGAGTACATGTCGGGGTTGTGGGCTCAATCCCCAGTTGGGGGTGTGCTGAAGACAGCCAATCAATGATTCATTGTTGATATTTATATCTTTCTCTCCTCCCTCCTGCTCTGAAATCAATAAAGAGATATTTTAAAAAAACATATCCATCAAGGATTCTTGTTTCATTTGATAAAATTAATATTCTAATAAAAGATTTCAAAAAAAATAACTATCACTCCATTTATTCTCTGTTAACTCATTTAACATAGGTAAGTTTTGCCACAATAGTAGTGGAGATAATACTGATTTAAAATTATTCTCTAGGAGAGACAGATGGGTAACATTTTCATCCAATTATACTATTAGTATCCAATTATATCATTAGTGGGTTCTTTCAAGTTTTGCCTAATAAGCTTATGATCTATACCTTAAGGAAAATCTTTCAGATTAGCATTCCTATTGCTCTTTTATTTTTATTTTTTTTTAATATATTTTATTGATTTTTTACAGAGAGGAAGGGAGAGAGATAGAGAGTTAGAAACATCAATGAGAGAGAAACATCGATCAGCTGCCTCCTGCACATCTCCCACTGGGGATGTGCCCACAACCAAGGTACATGCCCTTGACCGGAATCGAACCCGGGACCTTTCAGTCTGCAGGCTGACGCTCTATCCACTGAGCCAAACCGGTTTTGGCGCCTATTGCTCTTTTAAAAGTGAATTAACATGCTGCCCAAAGAACATGAATCTAGTAAGTAGATTTTCTTACAGAATGAAAAGTTGATTGTAGGTTTAGACCAAGTGATCCTGAAGTTTTTTTCAGAAAAAAAAAAAAAGATGTCAATTTACTGTTCTCAAAGTCAGTCATGTATCTCAGTTCTTAAATTGATGTGGAACAGAAATGTACTTGGCTGGGTTCCGGCTAGGCTTTTTCTTTTTTGGTAGGGGAAGAGGCTTTTTAATTTCAATTTTGCCTCTATATCATACATGTTTTATTAAGTTCCAACAGTTCTATGCATCCATTTCCCATCTATAATGTACATGTATGTACTGTTTCACAGGTCTGAAAAGTATTTGCTTGCTACATAAGCTAATGGGAGGATACAAAGGTGAATAAAGGTTGATTAAAATTGCTACAACCATTCTCATAAGTCTTAAGTAATTAGACTTGAAGTTAGATCTTTTCTAAATAAGAAAATAAAGGTTCCTAGATCTTTCTCTTGTTTTTCTAAACAGCATGGTTCTTCATGCTATTTACTCTTCAAACATTTATTTAGAGTCCATTGGTGAAATATGACACATCACCAGATTGATTTACACTTTGATAAAATCCTTCCAAAGTGCAGCGTGGCATGACAGATTAACTTTACTCGATGCTATATCCTATCTAATAAAGCGGTAATATGCAAATTGACCATCACTCCAACACACAACATGGCCGCCCCCATGTAGACACAGATGGCCGGCAGGGGAGGGCAGTTGGGAGGGACCAGGCCTACAGGGGAGGGCAGTTGGGGAGACCAGGCCTGCAGGGGAGGGCAGTTAGGGGAGACCAGGCCTGCAGGGGAGGGCAGTTAGGGGCGACCAGGCCTGCAGGGGAGGGAAGTTAGGGGTGACCAGGCCAGTAAGGGAGGGCAGTTGGGGGTGACCAGGCCTGCAGGGGAGTGGTTAGGGGGTGATCAGGCTGGCAAGCAGGTGTGGTTAGGGGCAATCAGGCAGGCAGGCAGGCGAGTGGTTGGGAGTCAGCAGTCCTGGATTGTGAGAGGAATCCCAGATTGGAGAGGGTGCAGGCTGGGCTGAGGGACATATACACCCTCCCCCCATATACAAATTTCGTGCACCAGGCCTCTAGTATACATATAGAAAAACATCTGACCTTTAGTGGGCTTTTTTTATACATATAAATTTTTATTAATTTCAGAGAAGAAGGGAGAAGGAGACATAGAAACATCAACAATGAGAGAATCATTGATCTGCTGCCTCCTGCACACCCCCTACTGGGGATGGAGTCTGCAACCCAGGCATGTGCCCTGACTGGGAATTGAACCGTGCATTACCTCTTGGTTCATAGGTCAATGCTGGGCTAGTGAGCTTTCTTTAAAAAAAAGGCAGATTGAGTAGGTCATGAACACTACAGAATACATCAGCTTTTCCCAAAAGCTTTAAGCACAGCTAGACTTCATTTTGAATGGATTTAAATATTTTTAAACTGTAACTTCTAAAAATCACAATCTTGGATTGTGAAGACAAGAAAGCTGTTTCTGCAGTTTACTAGTGTCTGGGAATATTTTCTTTTGTCAATGAGAAGACACAACTTATAAACATGTTTTAAAATATAAATTTAGCCCAGCTGGTGTGGTTCAGTGGTTGAGCGTCAGCCTATGAAGCAGGAGGTCACAGTTCAATTCCCGGTCAGGGTACATGCCCAGGTTATGGGTTTGATTCCCAGAAGGGGGTGTGCAGGAGGCAGCCAATGGGTGATTCTCTCTCATCATTGATGTTTCTATCTCTCCCTCTCCCTCTCTGAAATCAATAAAAAAATGTTTCAAAAACACAAATTTATTCTTGCTAGTAGTTGCAAGTATTACAAAAGTTTAATCTGAGGTCTGTAATTAGCATGACTTGTTTTTAACATAGGTAGATTTTGCCACAGTGAGTTCAAAATACTTTGCTGGAATGCCGTTATGAATAGCTGTGTGTGTGTGGGGGGGGGGGGGGGGGGGGTTAGCTATGGGCTGGGGTTTAGGAATTTAAGCCAGTATTTAACCTATTTCAAATGGAATTGAGGAATAAATTTTCTGATGGTATTAATTGCCAATGCCCATTTCCCACAACACACTTTGCTTATATATTTTGCACCAAAATAACTATGGTACTCCAAAAAATAGGGTAATGGGGTTAAGTACTGTTCTCATTATCCTTTAAGACATAGTAGCCTCTAGCCATGGGCATTCAGCTCCAAATATTTCCATATGGCACATAAATCATAATGTCATTACAGCATAATTTTTTTTATGCATGCGCTCCTCAGCCATGATCTTCTTCATCAAAATTGTCTATGACAGTGGTCGCCAACCTTTCGGACCTCACTGACCACCAGTGGTCCGGGACCACCCGTTGGAGATTGCTGGTCTATGATATTAACTCAGCATAAAACAAGTTCTTTTTGTTTGCTTTAATAAAGAAAGAAACAATAATGCAAGTGTTTTATATAAAATAAAGCAATGGCTATATGTGCAAAACTTCAGGTTTGGTGTTTTGGGAAGGGGGAGGGAATGGTGACAGGGAAGAAGAGTCCTTTATTTCATAACCATGTTCTTCTGTCTTTTTTATTCCAAATCTCCTAAGGGTGTCAAGAAGGCCAGTATGACTGCAATACTTTATAGCATGAGGCAAAGTATAACATGAAATGAAAGCAGCCTATGTATTGCTTTAAGACAGTTATTAGAAACCACTCACTAATTCAGAAGCCAGTGAGTCATCAGGGCATGAGAATGGAAGGTGGGAAGGAGTGGGCCCTGTGAACTACCAAAGACATAGTGGTACCCACATTTCTAAAATGGGACTGTGTTCTGTGCCTTAATACTAACGTATGCCTGATAACCTGGTGATAATTCATAGTTCAGTAGTTTACAATATTTTTAGAAAGCACATAATAGTAACAAATAAGACATTATAGAAAGTTTTACAAAGAACAGATTGTTTACTGTAATCCTTTTTAAAAGCGTTGGTCCATTTTGAAAGATCAAATTGAGTTTTAAAAAATCAAAAGGAAAAGTTTTTTCTCCCCACAAAATACATAAGAACCACTTATTGGCATTTGAATTGAATTTTAAGTGCCTAGAATAAAACAAAACATATTTTCTGTTAATAACAGCTTGTACAAGGACTTGTTTCATTTGATTTGGCACCAAGCAAAGTCAGAGTAAATATGCCACTGAAGATAGTCGAGTTTCTCCCCCTCTCGTATTGCTCCACTCCTCCTACCAGACCACAGTACATCAGCAGGCATCCTTGTTGCCCCAGTAAGGAATCAAATCATTTTTATTTTTTAAAACAGCTGCTTAGGTTACACTCATCGGCAAAGTTCTTTACCCTTAAGATAGAACAGCAGTGAATGCTAGGAATAAACTCCTTCAGCAAACTCGATTAGTTTCCTCGTCCTGGCTTCCCTTTCATTGCCATACCAGTTAATTATGATTGCTGTATTTGTCAAGGGAATTTTCCCCAGGCAAACTGTGATCTGTTTCCCAGTGACAGCGCATGCTTACTTTACCTAGTGCCATGGGTGTGTGTTTTTAATTCTTTTTTTTTTTTCTACTTGAATGTTACTCATCAAGGCAGATCAGACATTTTGATTAAAAAGAGAAACTGGCAAGTAGATCCAAAAGCACATCTCTTAACCAAAGTAACGTCTGAAAACATAGGTCTTTACATTTTCCTTTGAAAAGTCAACTCCAGTCTTTTTGCAGGACTTATGTCAATTTCTAATATAAATACTTACCTATATGCTAACTGATACATTTTTATACCAAATTGAAAATTCTGAGTAACTTGAAAGTACATTTAACAACAAAATAAATACATCATATATGGCGAGCTTATAAATTTCTTCGTGTAGAGGCAACAGTGAATTTGCATCCTGCATCTAGTCTGTAAATCCAGTTGCTTTTTTTCTGGAATTTTATAGACACACTGTACCACAACACTGTGTCCCGCGGAGCTAGGTATGGCTTTTTTGGCATCACTCTCAGCAAAAGCCTCTGATGAGACTTTTCCCAAATGACATGGAATTTTTTTCTTTACTTTTCCAGAAAAATAAGGAAACTTTATTAACCACTTAATCTTCTGAACAAACGTTAGAGTGCAACCGGTTGCTCTTTTAATTATGCCCTAAACGACTTTTCAGAAGTTCTGTTAGACATCTCTGATGTTTTCGAATTGCACACCCATAGAAGATAACTGGATAAAACGTACTAGATGATGTCAAAAGACAAATCTTAGTATTTGGCACATCTTAATTTCCAGAATAAAATCAGCAGAAATGAACTAATATAATTTTTTAAGAATTCATACACGTCCAAGTCTTAGGACAAGGAGCTTCTGAATGCACAGATAAGGAGCTTCTGCTCATCTTACTAGTTACACCGGCTTTTCCTCAAGGAGTAACTGATGATTTCTGGTTTATTTGTGGCACTTTTGTTTGTAGGAAGGCATATACATCGGGCCAGATCTTGTTGGTTTCGGTTCCGGAGAATGTTTCCAACACTCCTTTTTTCCTAAAGGTGACAAAACCAAAAACAAGTCTGAGTCTTCCTCATAAACTCTTTCAAAGTGATTCTTAAAGACTAGAGGGCCCTAACTGGTTTGGCTCAGTGGATAGAGCATTGGCCTGCGGACTCAAGGGTCCCAGGTTCGATTCCAGTCAAGGGCATGTACCTTGGTTATGGGCACATCCCCAGTGGGGGGTGTGCAGGAGGCAGCTGATTGATGTTTCTCTCTCATCAATGTTTCTAACTCTCTATCTCTCTCCCTTCCTCTCTGTAAAAAATCAATAAAATACATTTTTTTAAAAAATAAAGACTAGTGCAGGAATTCGTGCATAGGTGGGGTCCGGACGGCCCAGCCCAATCGGCCCCAGGACACAGGAGGTTGGCTGGCCAGCCCCACCCACAATTGGGGTGGGGAGGGCCAGCCATGGGGAGGGGCCGTGGGTGGTTGGCCGGCTGGCCCCACCCCCTGGTCAAATTCCCCGGTTGAACTGCCGGTCAAAGGGACAATTTGCATATTAGCCTTTTGTTATATAGGATGATGATGTGGATGTGGTCTCCATAAGTGTAGGTTTGTGTGATCAACGGAGAGAGGCATTTGGCTGGGCATTGGGAAACCTGGGTTTTGGTTTCACTTGTGTCCTCTGGCTTATGGAAATGGACACAAGATTCCAGGGGGATTATCCCCACTTCCCAGCTTCAAGGATGGACAAGATGAACTCATCAGTGCCAACTCTAGGACTTCTGTTGTCCAAGAGGCTCTCTTTTCTGCTGGGGTAGCTGAACTGGTAGGAGGTTAAGTGTGGTAAGCAGGAGTTGAGGGACTTACACAGGGACAGCCCACCTGAGATTGAGGCCAACACAGGAAAATGGAGCTGAAAGTGACAAGGCCGAGAACACTGAACAAGCTGGACTCAGTATTCACCTTTGGACATTTTAGTTACAGGACCAATAAGTTTCCCTTTTGCTTAGACTAGTGTGAATTAGGTCCCTGATTGGTATAAGTACATTTTATGATAAATACCATTTACCCAGCTCTCTGCCTCACCCACAGATAGAAGGTGAGGGTTTCTTGGGTTTTGGCAGGGTAAATAATAGCTAACACTGAGTGATTTAATAGTGCCAGGGCTGCCGTAAGTCTTTACGTGGATTCTCTCACTTAATTCCCTTAATGACCCTACAAAGGAGGTACTATTTAATATTGCCCTGATTTTACAAATGAAAAATTTGTGGCATAGAGGTTGAATCCCTTGCCCAGGGCCCCAGTGCTGGCAATCTGCAGAGCCAGCCTCATTACACAAATCACAAAATTACAGTAACAGCTACTGTAGAAAGTGGATTGCCAACTCCCTTATAATTTTAACCTCCAGAAATAGCTATTAAAACAGTGTGCAGACTATTATTTTAGTTTCACTGCATACTTTCTCTCTTATAACAACAACAATAGCTGATCATTATAAAGTGCTTACTATGTGTCAGAAATAATTCTAAGAGTTACATATATGAACTCAATCTTTCAGCCTTCTATTCTAACCCCCATTTTGCAGAGGAGAAAACAGGTTAAGACCAAGATAATAAATGAGGAGCTGGGATTTGAACTTAGTCTGGCTCCAGAGTCTGTGTCCTAAACACAACACTGTTCTGTCCTGACAACTGTCATTATTAAGTAAGTGAATGAATAAAAGGAGAGGGGATGGGTGAGCAAGGAAACTGGATTGTTTCTTAGCCTGAGTCAAATATTATTTAGTATAGATCCCATATTCTGCTGTGGAAGTCTCTGAAGAGCAATCAAAACTATGTTAGAATATAAGCTTTTAGCCAGGCTGGTGTGGCTCAGTGGTTGAGTGTCAACCTATGAAACAAGGGTCACGGTTTGATTCCCGATCAGGGCACATGCCTGGGTTTCGGGCTCAATCCCCAGTGTGGGGCATGCAGGAGACAGCCAACCGATGATTCGCTCTTATCATTGATGTTTCTCTCTCTCTCCCTCTTCCTTCCTCTCTGAAATCAATAAACATATATTAAAAAATTTTTAAAGAGAATATAAGCTTTTAAAGATGATTAACCAAATAAATGATCTGAGAATTGGTTGCCATTTGAGTCTTCTGTCCTATTAGGCACAGGAAGTGGATATTATTGGGGCTGCTTCCCCAGCATTCATTCCAGCCCTCCCTCCACCAGACTGCAGAATCTGGGTGAGACTGACCCACTCGAAGCTCCAGGTGTGGGAGTCATTCCCAGTGATTGCTTCAGGAATGGGCAGAAACCTAGGCCACCAGCAGTTAGTGCAGGGCATTCTCTGACCACAGTGGCTGTTCCAGTGGGTCCAGCCTGCATGACACTTGGGGCTTGTGTTCACTGGAGGAAAGGTGACCCCTCAGCCCTTCAGGAAAGGGCTGTTCCTGGCAACTGTCGAAGCCAATACAAAGCTGAGAGAATGGCAAAACTGGTCAAACTGAAGCGTGACGGAAGCCCAGCCTACCATGTGGACTTCTCTATTACACACGCTAGTGCACTGCCTGTGTGGTCTGATTTGAACTGGATCTTCTGATGTTTTAACATTTTAGCTGTAAAGCATGGACGATGGAAAACTGCCTTGGTGCCTGATCGTGCAAGAGAAGTTCTGAACAGCGACAGACTCACTGGTAGTATTCCAAGACTGGCTCTGTCTGAGCTTCGTAAGCCTTCAGTCTCTTGGCAACCGTCTCCGGTTTATCGTCCTCACGCTGCACGAGAGGCTCCCCAGTCAGATCGTCGATGCCCTAAATGGGAGTCAGGACACGCCGGTATCAAACATTTTTATAAGCAGTTCTAGGACTTTTCAACAGATTTCTTCTCTGTGCAAACACCAAGCACACAAATGTACTTTTAAACGAACGGAATCAAATCCAAACCCTGAACCCTGATCACTGCAGCACAGAGCCACGTCAGTCACTTCCTTAGAGTAAAAGGTTTTCTAAGCAGCCTCTAAATAATGTCATGTTGTGGACGAAAAAGAGGTCTTACAGAAAGTACCCTCACAGGGTGGCCCGATCATAAATTCCTAACTGGGCAGGTCACAGTGGGTAGTCATGCCCCAGGCGTATGACTTCTTTAGGAAAAGGTTTATCTTAGCCTTAAGTAAGCCCTGTCCATTGTTTCTGGGCATCTAGGTGACACACCTTTGAAATGACTCTTTCAGACCCCTCAGAAGCCACCTTCAAGAGAACATATAATCTTGTTAACTATCCTGTAATCCAATTCCCACCTTCCTGATGTTCCCTCCTTAATTCCAAATGCATGAAAGAAGCTGCCAACTGCCATTCTGGGGAGCATTTTTTCTCAGCCTGTTGGGATCTTGTTTCCAGGCGTATCCTGTTTGGCTCAAATTTTTATAGACATTCTGTGTAGGTTTGGGCGTTCTTATGTTGACCTAAATAAGCCAAGGTGTCGCTAATCCCTATTGCCCCAACTCCTAACACACCCCCTGACACAGAGTAGAAAATCAGTAAATGCTTTCGAAGGATTAATAAACCCCTGTCACTCCTGGGACACCTCTACTAACAACCTGAGTGGACCAGACAAGGACTACACCAGAACCTGAGACTGTACCCTTAGGAGTTTGGGGCAGGAAGGATTTTCCAAGGTCATAAAACTTCTGCCTGTGAGTGCAAGAGGCCTTGGGGACTGCTATGTGGAAGGCCGGTTCCACCGCAACTACTCACCACAGTTTTGGGAGGGTTGAATTCGATGTTGTAGACTCGGCCACTGGCCGGATGAATCCAGCGAGCTGTGAGGCGCTGCTTAATGACCTCAAAGGGCACCTTCAGATTAATCACGGTGTCTATTTTATAAACTTTATCCAGGGCTTTTGCCTGAGGAAGAGTCCTTGGGAAACCTTTACACACACACACACACACACACACACACAAGAGAAGGAAGAAAGGGAGGGAAGAAGGAAGAGAATGAATAAATGTTGAGCAATCTGAACAGAAGCAGTAACACCAGCCAAGTGGAGCACAGCTGTAGGGCAACTGTGATAATTTCATGTGTTGACTTGATTGGGCCACGGGTGCCCAGATATTTGGTCAAACATTATTTTGGGTGTGTCTGTGAGAGCGTTTTGGATGAGAGTAACATGTAGATCAGTAGACTGAGTAAGGCAGATTTTTCTCCCTAATATGCGTGGGCCTCATCTAATCCACTGAAGGTCTGAATAGAACAAAAGGGCTTACCCTCCCCTGAATAAAGAGGGAGGTGGGACGTGGGCTTTCTCCTGCCTTCAGACTGAAACTGACACAGCTCTTCCTGGGGCTCGAGCCTGCTGGCCTTCAGACTGGAAGCCCTCCTGCACCCCCAATTTACCAGCTCACCCTGAAGATCCTAGGACTTGTCAGCCTCCGTGATCATGTGCGCCCGTTGCTTACAATTAATGCCTCCTCTCTCCCCCTCTCTCTCTTCAGAAACTAAAAATCAACCCATTCAGCACACCTCTGCCAGTTCACAGCTGATTTTAAGTTACCCTCCAACTTTCCTGGCTTTCCTGCGTGGTAAACCTCCCTTGCCATAAAATATTCTTAAAAGAGGGGAAGGAACTAAAGTCACATCTGAAGGGACCTTAGGAATCATGCAGTCCACAGCCCTCCCATGCAGATAAAGAAGCAGGCCCAGAGAAGGCGACAGGCCGAGGCCTCAGGGTGAGCAGTGGCAGAACTCGGGCTCTCTGCCCACAATCCATGAGGTCTCTGCAGCCCATGAAATGCTTGTTCTGCTGCCCGCACTCATTCTGGGCAGCTGAAATGCTAGTGACGCGTCACTTACCATCCAAGAGCCAGTTATACTGGGTGAGGTTTTTCAGCTCATGCAAGGCCAGCCGAGTCATGATATCATCTGGGATGAGCTTCCCTTGTTCAATGAAAGTCTTGGCTAACACACCAATTTCTACAGCAGAATGAGGGGGGGAGAGCAAATCAGCAACTTACACGATCACAAAAGTGAAAAGACAACCCACTGAATGGAAGAGCGTTTTTATAAATCATGGATCTGATAACTTGTATTTAGAATATCTAAAGAATTCTTACACCCTACACGTGGTCGGCAAACCGCGGCTCGCGAGCCACATGCAGCTCTTTGGCCCCTTCAGTGTGGCTCATCCACAAAATACCACGTGCAGTATTGAAATTTTGTAGCCCATGCGCAGAAGTCGGTATTTTGTGGAAGAGCTGGTATTTTGTGGAAGAGCCACACTGAAGGGGCCAAAGAGCCGCATGTGGCTCGCGAGCCGCGATTTGCCGACCACTGCCCTAGCCAGTTTGGCTCAGTGGATAGAGCACTGGCTTGCAGACTGAAGGGTCCTGGGTTCCATTCCAGTCAAGGGCACATGCCAGGGTTGCGGACTCGATCCCCAGTAAGGGGCGTGCAGGAGGCAGCTGATCATGATTCTCTCTCATCATTGATATTTCTATCTCTCTCCCTCGCCCTTCCTCTCTGAAATCAATAAAAATACTTTTTTAAAAAGAATTCTTACAACTCAACAATAAAAGGAGAACCCACTTTTAAAAATGGGCAAAGGATATGAATACAAAAAGTAGATATATAAATAGCCAATAAGCACATTAATAAATGCTCAACATCATTAATCATTAGGGAAATAACAAATGGTAATCACAATGAGATACCACTTCACACTCACTAGAATGGCTATAATCAGAAAGATAAATAAAAAGTGTTGGCAAGAATGTTGAGAAATTGAAACCCTCATATATTGCTGGTAGAATTCTAAATGGTGTAGCCAATTTGGAAAATAGTATGGCAGTTTTTCAAAAGGTTAAACAGTTACCTTATGACCTAGTAATTCCACTACCACGTATATATACAAGAGAAATAAAAACACGTGTCCACACAAAACTTATATATGAATGTTCATAGCAACACTATTCACAATAGCCAAAAAGTAGAAACGACCAAATGTCCATCAAGCAATGAATGGATAAGTAAAATGTGGCATATCCATACAAAATTTTATTATTCAGCCATAAAAAGATGTGAAGTACTGATACATGTTATAAAGTGTGTGAACTTTGAAAACATGCTAAGTGACACAAAAGACACATATTGTATCATTCCATTTATATGAAATGGTCACAATAGCCAAATCTATGAAACAGAAGGAAGATTAGTGGTTGTGTAGGGCTGGGAGCATTAGAGAAAAATGCAGAATGACTGCTAATGGGAATAGATTTTCTTTTTAAGGTGGTAAAAATGTTCTAAAATTGCTTGTGGTGATGGTTGCACAACTCTGAATGTAATATGAAACACTGAACCATATATTTTAAGAGGGTTAACTTTACTATTTGCGAATTATATCAATAACGTGTAGGTTGTTGTTTTTTTAAAATGAAGGATAAAAAATGCTCGGTAAGCAAAACAAAAAGCCATTCGTAATTCCACCACTACTCAGAGATAATTATTGTTAAAACTAATAATATAAAAACCTCTAAATATTTTGTTTTGTGAAAAAATAGTCCCATGCATAGTCTAATAGTCTTTTTCATTTATTACTAACAACTCTCTCATCAATAAACATTTGTGTACAATAGTTATTAAAATCTAAAGCCTGTAATGCTCCCATTAGAGTTTATTTAAAAGAAAAAAAAATATTCAACTCTCTATGTCAAGGTTCAAGTTAATTATATTTCAAATTTTTACCCCCTCCCAAAATTAAATGCAAGGAATCTTGTCCAGCATATTCTTTGAACAATTGGTTACATATATTCCCTTGATTTCCTATTATTTAATATTGTATCTGAACAGACTCATAAAAATACTATTTCTTTTTGGATTCAAAAATTAACAAATTTGGGCCCTACTCGGTTTGGCTCAGTGGATGGAGTGTTGGCCTGTGGACTGAAGGGTCCCGGGTTCGATTCCGGTCAAGGGCACGTACCTTGGTTGCAGGCTCCACTGGGGCCCTGGTTGGGGAGCGTGCAGGAGGCAAACATCTCTCTCACATCGGTGTTTCCCTCTCTGTGTCTCTCCCCCTCCCTTCCCCTCTCTTTAAAAGTTGATTATCCAAAATAAACTAATTTTCTACAAAAAGTATACACAAATAAAAACAGAAAAGGAAGGTTAGAGGAAAATAGGGAAGGTTAAAACCAACTTTTGATTTTAAGGATAATAATCAGGAATTCTAAAACATACAGACATCAGTCTGAGAAATAAGTGTTAGCATTATATAAAAAGCCATTTTTAATTCTACATCTCCTTTTAAAGTTTGGTCATTCTTATAACATCCAAACCAACCACACCTCAAATCTGAATTTGTTTGGAAAAATAAATAAATAAAATAAATAGACAATCTGTTTGGTCAGCTATGAAGAACAAAAAAGGGCCTGGCCAACCTGTGAATAACAGTTGCTTTTTACATGTGCCAAGGGCTACAGAGAATTAACCTAGTTCCTGCCAAAATTACTTTTAGCAAAGTACATAAAAGTTCATTTTTAAAACATGTCAAAAGAGCCCTAGACGGTTTGGTTCAATGGATAGAGCGTCAGCCTGTGGGCTAAAGGGTCCCAGGTTCCATTCCAGTCAAAGGCATATGCCTAGGCTGTGGGCTCCATCCCCAGTAGGGGACATGCAGGAGGCAGCCAATCAAGGATTCTCTCTCATCATTGATGTTTCTATCGCTCCCTCTCCCTTCCTCTCTGAAATCAATAAAAATATATATTAAAAATAAAAAAAAAACATGTCAAAAGAAAAAAAAATCTATCAGAATGACAGAGAATGAGACAAATGATAGGTTTATACCCAGTCAGAGGCTTTTTATACAAACCTTTCTCAAATAATAAAGACTCAAGTCAACACAGCAGTTCCCTCTGGGAAGAGGAAGGAGATGACTGTGGAGTTAGAGTGGGTGGCCCCAAAAGTACTGTTTTTCTGCCTGAGGTACATGGGCATTCATTTTATTCTTCTAAACATACATAAACAATTGTAATACCTTCATGCATGGGATATTTCACTAGATTATACTGGAAATAAAAACCTCTCTTGACCACTGGTCCTCCCTCCAACCATCACCCAATCTCTCTCCTTCAGGGAAGCACCTAGAGAGAGCTCCCATCCCAGTTCTATACTCCTCCCCTTCCCACTCTGCTTCAGGATAAAAATGCAACTCAAGAACTGTATGAAGGCCCTGGTCTGGCTTGATCATATCTCTCCCCCACCTCCCTCCCCACCGTGTCCACCAAACACACAAGCCATGCCCCTAGCAAGGAGCTCCACAGACCCTGGGTCCTCCTAGCCTCTGCATATGCCTCTGTCTCCTCTCTGCTGCCTGATAAGCTCTTCTCATCCTTCAAGATACATCTTAAAGGGACTTGCAGTGTGAACCTTCAACCTTGTAGGCAACAGGAAGTTCCTCCTTTAGACTTCCATGTGGCAGACTTGTCTCCATTGGAGCACCATCACACTAGCTGAAAACTAGCTGTTTACGTATTATTATCGATCAAATTGTGCCCCTCTCAATCCATATGTTGAAGCCCTACCTCCCAATGTAGCTGTATTTAGAGGGGGCCTTTAAGGAGATAATTAAGGTTAAATGAGTTCCTCAATGTGGGGCTTTAATCCAATCTGACTGATGTCTTTATAAGAAGAGGAAGAGACACCAAGAACAAATGCAACAGAGGAAAAGTCACGTGAGGACACAGTGAGAAGGCAGCCCTTTGCAAGCCATGAAGAAAGGCTACACCAGAAACTAACCCTGTCAGCACTTTGATCTTGGACTCCTAGCCTCCAGAACTATGAGAAAATACATTTCTGTTGCTTAAGCCATCTCGTCTATAGTATTCCCTTATGGCAAACTGAGAAGACTAACACACATGGCCACTTGTCTTCCACGCCTACATTCCAATTGTGCGCATACCCAAGCATGTCAAACTCGTGGCCGGCGGGTCATGAGTTTGACATGCTTGAAGGGAAATATACTTGTCTCTGGATCTCCAGCACCTAGCATACATTAGGTATTTGATGGATCCATGGATGGATAGATGGAGAAATGAGCTGCCTTGATTCCTGTGGATTCTAGCAATGGGATTTTAAGAGGCCTAACTTATTTTGTTTAAAAAGAAATCTAGCAAAAGCCTACTTTCTTTGAGATGATATTTATCATCGGGTTCATCTTTTTAAAATGCTCTTTAAACTATTTAAACAAACTTTAGTACACCCACAAAATAACAGAAAAGGGTGAAGCAATCCAGATGTCCATAAATCAAAGGATAAACAAAATGTAGTAAATCCATTCAATGCGATATTATTCAGCAATAAAAAGGAATTAAGTATCAATACATATTACACACAGTGAGCCTGGGAAACATGGTAAGTGAAAAATCTCAGACATGAAAGACTACATATTGTATGATGCCATGTGAATGAAATGTTCAAGTAAGAAAACTGAGACACAAAGTACATTAGTGTTGCCAGTGGCACAGACTGGGTGGAGTGAGGTGGGAATGGGAGTCACTGCTAATAGGTGTGAGGTTTCTTTTGGGGATAATGAAAATGTTCTAAAAGAAAATTAAAATCCTCTGTATTTTCATCACTGGAAACAATTGTAATGAACCCTTTGCTGATTTTTCTTATATTCTTCTCTTCTTTGCTGCATTTATGTATTTGCAATTATGTTATATTCTAAATTATTGCTTAGATACCTTTTTCCCTCACTCATTGTGAGCATGTTCACACATCATTCAACAATCTCTCTTGTTAAATTTATTTTTATTGATTTCAGAGAGGATAGGAGAGGGAGAGAGAGATAGAAACATCAATGATGAGAGAGAATCATTGACTGGCTGCCTCCTACATGCCCCCCACTGGGGAACGAGCCCACAACCCGGTCATGTGCCCTTGAGCAGAATCAAACCTGGGACTCTTCAGTGTGCAGGCCAACACTCAATCCACTGAACCAAACCGGGTAGGGCCATATTAAACAATCTTTAAAATATTTAGTTTCATCAAAATTGCAAAATTATTGCCCTAGCCGGTGTGGCTCAGTGGTTAAAGTGTTAGCCTATGCACCGAAGGGTTCAATTCCCAGTCAAGGGCGTGTAACTGGGTTGCAGGTTTGATCACCAGTGCAGGCAACCAATCAATGTCTCTCTCCCACCTCTCTCTCCTTTTCTTTCTCTGTCCCCCTCCCTCCCTCTCTTACACTCTCTCTAAAAATCAATGGAAAAATATCCTCAGGTGAGGATTAACAAGAAAACAAAAAATGATTGCACAATTATTAATTTAAACATTGACCTGTTATCAGACATTTGTGTTGTTAACCATTCTTTACTATAATAAATACTGCAATGACCATCCTTGTAGATGAACATTTGGCAGCATCTCTGCTTATGTCCTTCCAATAAATTCCCTAGTGTGGAATTTCTGTAACTGTGGTACCATCAAATAGTGCTACATAGAAGGATGGCGCCAACTTACTCTCCAAACACCATTTCATGCGAGTATTTTATAACCTATGGCTGTATTTTATAGCTGAAGTTTAAAATCATCCCAGCAGATATGAATAAGTCCTGGAAACACAATGCAACCTGCTGAGGGTAGCAAACCTGGAGTAGCTTAGAGCTGTACCTGGAGTCAGGAAACTGGAGTTTGACCCTTGAACATTATTAGTCCGCCGTCTCCTTTAAAGATGAGGGGACTGAGTTCAGTAGAGGTAAAAGAACTTGCTCAATAAAAAACAGCAGTCACTGGGGGACAAAGGTGAACACCCAGGTCTCCTGAGTGCCAATTAAATTACACTTCCTATGCAGCATTTACCACGTTGAGATTTATGAGATAATTTTAGGTAAATAAAATATTATCTCAAATAAAAATAAAGTTCAAATTTAAAAACCAATAAAAATTTCATTTCAAAGTCTATTTGAAAAATAACTAGTACAACAAACCTTTAATTTCATGAACATGATGGCTTATTAAGTGAAAAGGCTGAGCTACTTTAAAGAATCAAACCAGCAACCTCGCAGTGCATGGGACCTGGCACTCAACCTACTGAGCGACAACAGCCATGGCAAAGCAGTATTTTTTTTAATCTTTTTTTAAAATTGATTTCAGAGAGGAAGGAAGAGGGAGAGAGAGAGAGAAACATCAATGATGAGAGAGAATCATTGATTGGCTGCCTCCAGCACCCCCACTCTCCCACTGGGGATGGAGCCCACACCTGGGCATATGTCCTGACCGAGAATCAAACCGTGACCTCCTGGTCCATAGCTTGATGCCCAATCACTGAGCCACACTGGCCAGGCTAACGCAGTATTTTTTTAAATAAATGATAACATCTCTCTTTTGTTTCTGGGAAATATCCAATCCATTCACAAATATTTAGTGCTGAGAAACAAAACACCTGTAATAATAATAATAATCTCATGACACCTCCCTAAACTCCATTTTCTGTTTTCCTTGTTAAAGAATTCCTGAAAAGACTCCAGAGAAAACAGATGCCTGAGGTAAGCATAACATCTTTCCTAGTGATCCTCTCCTCCCTCCCTCTAGCCTCTCTTTTCATGTTGTGGACATGAAAGAGGACAGGAGGTGTGTCAGAAATTTTAAGGATAAACAAAGAACATTGTTTCTGAATTTTAAAGAAGTTTACTTATTCGCTTTAAATTTATTTCTTTTAACATTTTGTGCTTTCGCTAATTAACATATCCTTAACTCCACTGAAGATGTTCTTTAACCACATAGTTATGCGTCAATGCTGGCTTATCTTTCAGAGAGTTGCTTAAGGATTCTCTTTACTCCTTTCCAACTGGGTGCAGTACAGGAGACTGCTTATTGTTACCTAACTACTTCAAAATGTTGCATCAAGAACACTCAGGGAGGGAGCCAAGCAATTTAAACTTTTGAAGAAGTAGAATTAACTACAAAATACTTCATGATCTTTTTTTTAAAAGATCAATGTTAAGAAGAGAAAAATAAAAGTAGTAATTCACCAGCTGAACTGAACTCCAAGACACAAACTAAAAACACTGGGGTGGTTGTTTTCTTCATTTAAATGTCAGTATTTTGAAACAAGCAAACCCCACTTAGAAATAATCTACATGTTCATCAATAGGGGATCCATTAAATAAATTATAGTAGAGCCAGCAAATACTTATAGAAAAATTGAAAGAATGAAAGAGATGTCAATGTTGTCATGTGGAAAGATAATCCAGATATAAAATGAAAACACACTGGTGCAGAATACATATATAATATGACTTCATTTTACATAAAATAAGGCATATATATAAAATAAGGCTTGCACAAAAATGTCTAAGAGAAAACACAGGATACTGTTCCCCTAGGAAGAATGGGACTGAGGTGGGTCATAGGAAAGGACTTTACTTTTCTTTTATGTACTTCCGTCCTGTTTCCAATCTCCCCCACTCCAACTCCTACCCCCCCCCTTTTTTTAACCTTGTGCAGGCATTACTTCTGTAATTTTTTATTTTTAAAAAATATATTTTTATTGATTTCAGAGAGGAGGGAAGAGGGAGAGATAGAAACATCAATGATGAGAGAGAATCATTGATTGGCTGCTTCCTGCACACACCCCCCCCCCCCCACTGGGGATGGAGCCCACCACCCAGGCATGTGCCCTTGACTGGAATCGAACCCAGGACCTTTCATTCCGAAGGCCCTAGCCAAACCAGCTAGGGCGGTAATTTTTTTTTAATGAGCTCCAAAATGAGTTTTACTTTGGAAAATAAAGATCAGCACTTTTGAGGGGGGTGGGGGGGACCACTTCACCCTGATGTTGACTTTTGGACAACAGCCTTCTTAAGATATAATTTACATAAAATCGACCCATTGTCAAGTGTACAGTTTTTTACTGGATTTCATGCTGAGTTATAAAAACTTATTTGGCATGAGAACAAAACAATCTTTCAGATAACCACTCACAAGAATAGCTTTTGTGCCTAAGAAATCTCTGGAGGTATCCAAGATCTACGCCAATTGTGTGACTGCAATGAGGGCAAACAGTGCTCTGTCTTCAGATTATGGGACAAAGGTCAGAACCAGAAAATCCCATGGAGTTAACCAAAAAGTAGAAAAGAAAGAAAAAAGTAAGGAAAGAAGAGGAGAGGGAAGGAAGGAAGGAAGGGAGGGAGGGAGGGAGGGAGGGAGGGAGGGAGGAAGAAGGAAGGAAGGAAGGAAGGAAGGAAGGAAGGAAGGAAGGAAGGAAGGAAGGAAGGAAGGAAGGAAGGAAGGAAGGAAGGAAGGAAGGAAAACTTTTTAGGCGCAAGGGCACGTGGAGAATAAGCCCCAGTTCGCTGGACTCTTAGGAGCAGCTGCGACCGGGGCTGGACGTGCCTCTCAAAAGCCAAAGGGTTTCCTTTGAACCTGACTTCGTAGTTCCTTCCGCGATCACCGCCTGCAGCTGTCCACGGAGGTCAGAGGCTTCGGTGAGCGGCCAGTCGCTCAGCAGTGGGAAGAAGATGCTTTGCCCGCATCCCTGGACCCGCATCCCCCGGACGCGCATCGCCCCCAAATTCCAATCCGGCCACAGCGCACCGCGCCCCTCCCGCCCGGGCTCCCACCTGTGCCTTGAAGGATGTTGCCTCGGAGCAGATCCCCGCTGGAGAGGTGCTTCAGCTCGAAGTGTTGGGTAATGCGCGACGACACGGTGCCCTTGCCTGAGCCCGGCGCCCCCAAGATCACTGCGCGCAGTAGCCGCGTGGACGCCCCCATGGCGCAGGGAGAGGCCGGGCGTTGTGCGCGGGGACGGGGCGGTTGGGTCCGGCTGCGCGCTCACGCGGCTCCGCGGCCCGGCCGGCGGCTGACAGCACAGCGAGGCGGCGGCCGCAGCCCAGGCGCTCCCGGAAGTGGCGACGGGCACCGGGGCGCCCCTCCCGCGCCCGGCCCGGCTGCTGCGCCCGCCCTCGGCGACCCGGGTGCCTCTTCCCACGGCCCGCCCCGCCCGCCAAGCCGCGCCCCCAGGGCCGCCCGGCGCCCACCTGCGCCTCCCACCCACCCACCTACTTCCGTCTGCCCTCCCCAGCCGCCCCTCCGCACCCCCCTTGCTGTTCTCCGCCGCCTCGGCCCCCTCGAGGCCTCCTTGGCGACCCTGGTCGCCCCCAGAAGTTCCTCAGACCCACCCTCGCCTCCTGCCACTGCCCCGCCCTGGCCTGCCCGGTAGACGGCGCTCTTGGCAACCCCTGCGCGTCCTCTCCCTTTCTCTAGCCGCCCCTCCGCGCAGGGTGGGTACCGGATGCCACCACAGCCCCAACATCTACCCACCCCTCTCCTCTCGTCCACGCCAGGTGCTTTCCTGCCCACCCCAGCTGGAGAGACGCCCCCACCCCCACCCTCGTGCCTTCCCCACTCTGCGCCCCCTTCTCCCAACCTCGGTGCCTGCCTCACCGCCACCCGTGCCCCTCCGCCCTGGGAGGCATCGGACTCTCCCCTGCTCCTTACCCTGCACTGCACTCTGCTCCACTCCTCTGCCCTCCCTCTCCCCCTTCTTTGCTGCTGAGCTACCTTAAAAGCACCTGCTCCTCCTCTCTTGCTCGCCCAGGTGTTTAAGGTACGTTTTTCTGTGTAGAATCCCAAATAGATGAAAATGGGCGAAAAGGGCCTTCCTCCCCCTTTCACTGTAAGGAAACGCAGTTGAAATGGAGTGAGGCGCCTGAAGCCACACATCTATTGAGGGGTGGTTTTCATAGAAGTCACACTTTCACACCTTCAGATTCAAAAGTAGCTGCTACGCTTACTCAACACAGCTTAAAAGTACTGGCTGCCACTCAGGGTCTGTCTATTATTTGCCTTTGGCAATGCGTTGATTCCACAAATATTTACTCAGTGATTATTTTGTGCCAGATATTGTTCTAAGGGCCTTGAAAATGTTGTGGTGCACGAGACAAAATTTCTGCTCCTTGGAGTTTAAAGTCTAGTGGGGGAGGCAAGCAGATCATAACAAGGAAAAGAATAAATGAGCAAGAGAATATGAGTTACTGCTACGAACAAAATAAATGTGTGAAAGTGTGGAGGGAGGCTGTTTTAGATCCATCCCAGGCTTTGAAGAAATGGCATTTGCTCTGAGTACTCAATTAGAAGATGGAAGGACAGCAACGCAGGTAAGGGGGAAAGGCCCTAAAACTGAAGGTTTGGCATGTTTCAGGAATAGAAGCACAGGACAAACGTCCAGTACGTGTTTCCTCTGTGAAAAGGCCATGGAAGGTTAGTATTGAGTTGTTAAAATGTGTATACAGTATAATGCCAGCTACAGGGTAACGGCTCAATAAAGGTTATTCATCGCTATTATCACTTAATTGTGCCAGGACACTATGCTAAGGCAGAACACAGTGCCATACTCCACAGAGGCTGCTGAATGAGTAGCCCAAGAGTGCTACTTTCAAAGACAGAAATTATTTCAGAGAGGAATGGTAAATGGAAAGATTGCTCCCTGGTGAATCTGAGCTGGGTGAATGGATTTAATAGGTAGACAGTGCAGTCCTTAGAAAGAAATTTAATAGCTCATACATATTCATTACCTAGAAAGAACGAAAATAAATGAATTAAACATTCAGTTCGCATAGTTAGAAAAAGGACATCAAAGGAATCCAAGGAAAGCAAATAAAGGGATTAAGAAAGAGAACTTGAGCGAAAGGATTAGAAAATTTAAGAAACAGAACCAATCAAAGAATGAAAAGGTCTGGAAAAGTACCAGTTGCAAAACACTGGAAAAACCTAAAGGAACAGGAACAGTACTTCTAATCTGCAAAGCTGGGAACATTTGTGGCTTTAGCTACAAAAAGAGACCTGAAAGCAAATCCTGAGGAAATTTGGGTTGGAAAGGAATGTTGACACAGACAAAAATAGCTGAGGAATCATCCTGTCACTGGGGAGGAAAAGCCTAGTGCTGTGGTCACGTCAACAGGCCTCACAAAATGCCAACTAACCGAAGCTTGGCTAAAGTTTGTTGATTACGAACGAGCAAGTAACTGCCATACTGTGGGAAACCTCGCGGCAACTCTGCCCAGCAGTCATTTCACCATACATAGGTATGTGCAAGGGCGGGTTCTTCAGCATTTAACTTCCTCCAATGGTAAAGACACTGAATTCAAATGAATACATTACAAGGTGTGAGTCAAGAAGAGATGTAAGAAGGGCTTGTATGTTGGAACTTGCCCTCCAGGAATCACGAAGAAGCCAGGATCTGAAGAAGCCTGAGATAGACCTTGTAGAGAGCAGCCCAGCTGTCCGAGTCACTCCAGCCAGTCCAGCTGAGCTGCCATTGTGGCCATATGATCAGTGAACTCAGGGGTAGGTGGATTAGAGGGTAGAGGAAGAATGTTTCCCTGAGCTACTAGGACAGAATTGTCATTGACTAAGATTGGGAAGACTACGGGAGAAACAGGTTTGGGGAAGAATATTAGAGTTGTTTAGGAGTAAGTTACGATGAAGATACCTTTGGGGCGTCAGAGGGAGTTGATAGGGAAGGAGTTAGATGTACACATTTTGAGTACATAGTAGAGGCCCGGGCTGGAGATATAAAATTGGGGAGTTGTTGGGATATTTACATTTATAGGATTGTAAAAACTCACGCAAGGAGTGAGTTTAAATGAGAAAGGTGTGAAATCTGACTCCTAAGGTTCTCCAGCATTTAGGGGATAAGGAGGAAACACCGAAAGAGTGGGACAGGAGAGGCAAGTTGTTTAGGGAAAACAATGGGTGAGTGTGATGTCATAGACATCAGTTGAAGAATGTGTTTTAGGGGAGTGATTAAATTAGTCAAATTCTGCTGATAGGTAGGACTGAGACCTGACTGACAATTATTTGTAGCTGTAAAGAACAAAATAAAACACACAAAAACCCCCACAAAACCTATGAAATAGATTATTTTTCATTTACAATGTATAGATGAAAAAATATGAGGATATTTTTACCAAAATCCCATACCTACTCAGCAACTGAATTAGTGATTTCAAAACAATGCTACATGAAATATAGAAAATGCTTTCTCTGAGAGAAAGCTTCTAAAAGGAGGATTCAAATTGTCCAGAACAAGGCTATTAGGGGGAAAAGAAAGAGAAGGTCTAGACAAAAGTGGGGGCACGGAACAGAGGAGGATGGAGTCAAAAAATACAAGGCCATATCTTACAAACTCAGAGGCCAAAAGAACCCTATCGGATGGTTTGAAGTTAAAAGTAAAAGCAAGTCACAGTGTTAGTTATATCCTAGCCTTATTTGTGTTTTTGTTTTGTTTTGTGTGTGTGTGCGTGCGTGCGTGTGCGTGCGTGTGCATGCTTGTGCGTGCGTGTGTGTGTGTGTGTTTTGTTTGTTTTTGCAGAGGTCAAACTTACTGAGCCTGTCATATTGTCTTTTTGCATCTAGGATAACATACCTTTGGATTTTCAGGTAAATTTCCTTTTTTACAGACTTCTAAGGGCACAATCTCCAAGCACAGAAGACCACAGAGCCCCAATTATTATTGTTGTTGTGTTAAATATTAACTGTTAACTATTGGATAACATTTTAAAAAGAAGTTTGTGTCTATTTTTTTTTTAACTTTTTATCCAATCCCAGAGATTTTCCTCATCAGCCCCCCTAATTTATCACCAGTGAATTTCATGTAACCCCCTTATGTCTTCTCCTTTGAGTCTAATGTAAAAAAAGGTGCAAAACTGCCAAAAAAAATAATAATACAAGGCCATATTTTTTAACACTTTGAAAAACCAACAGAAGAGGGAGCCTTGGAGTTAAGACAATTTTATTACAAAGTTCATTTAAAAGGATACATGAACAAGAATATCTGGGAAAGCCCTGAAAAAGAAGAAAATGTGCAGAGGCGAGCCCTACCAGTTAATAAGACATTATAAAGCCAATATAATAACAAGATGGTATTGGCACATGAGTACATAGATCAATAAAACAAAATAGAAAATTCAAACATAAACCTAACTGCATCTGATGGGAGAAGATATTTGCAACTCATATATCTGATAGGAAGCTAATAAGCAAAATATATAAAGAATTCTTACAACTCAATGGCAAACAAACAAAAAACAATCCAAGTTAAAAAAAAAAATGGGCAGAAGATCTGAATAGACATATTTCCAAAGAAGACATACAGATGGTCAATAAGCACATGAAAAGGTGCTCAACATCACTAATCAGGAAAAAGCAAATCAAAATCACAATGAGCTATCACCTCACACCTGTTAGAATGGCTATTATATTTATTATTTATTTATTTTTGTTAATCCTCACCTGAAGATATTTTTCTCCCATTGATTTTTAGAGAGAGTGGAAGGGAGGGAGAGAGACAGAGACAAAAACACATCAATGTGAGAGAGACACATTGATTGGTTGCCTCCCGTGACAAACCAGGCCAAGGTGTGTGCCCGTGCCCGTGACCAGAATAAAATTCATGGCCCTTCAGTCCACAGGCCAATGCTTTAACCACGGACTCAAACTGGCTAGGGCTAAATGGTTATTATAAAAAAGACAAAAAATAAAAAGTGTTGGTGAGGGTGTCGAACCAATATGCTCAATTAATATTTGACAAAGGAGGCAAGAACATACAATGGAGCCAAGATAGTCTCTTCAATAAATGGTGTTGGGAAAATTGGACAGATATATGCAAGAAAATGAAACTAGACCACCAACTTACACCATACACAAAAATAAACTCAAAATGGATAAAGGACTTAAATGTACGACAGGAAACCATAAAAATTCTAGAAGAATCCAAAGGCAACAAAATCTCAGACATATGCCGAAGCAATTTCTTCACTGATACAGCTCCTAGGGCACTTGAAACGAAAGAGAAAATGAACAAATGGGACTACATCAAAATAAAAAGCTTCTGCACAGCAAAAGAAACCATCAACAAAACA